ACAAGGAAATATGAGCGTTTATTGAAGAAAATTGTATGCTCCTCTATCGTAAATCAATTGCTAATTATAAGATTTTCTTAGTGCTTGAATGGGACAGCGGATATTGCATAAAGTGTTTTGATAAACGTCCATTCAAGGGCACCGTCGAAGCAGTTCCTCGACCTCCATTTTTTGCCTTTTCCAGGTCTTTTCATGGCGCCGATTCCAGATATGAAATCAAAAGGAGAGGAGCCCTCAAAAACTGTGCCGACTTGTCGGCACCTTCCTTACAACCATATCATTACTCCTGCCTGAGCGCCGTAAAGGTCATGCCATAAGCATGGCCTGTTATGATATGAGTATCTTATCGCCCAGACTATGTAGCGTTACTTCGCCACGCCTGTATTCACGAGCATTCTATAGTCGGCTGCAAGGAATCGCCCGGACTCAATGCACGCGCGCGTGTCTCTGGCGGGCTAACATTGGCATTCGCGCGTATGAGTCACCATAGCGCCCGTAGTTGGCAGCCGCCTTGCAGGCAGCCCGCGCGTTTAGCCTACAGTGATCTAAGCGATTTCGCGCAGCCGATCAAACTGCTGCATCAATGCAAGTTCTGACTCAATAAAGCTCTATGCTTACGTATAATAACACAGCCGAGCTACTTACTCCAAAGGCGCTATTCCGCCACAACACCCCTTCTCTAAGGCTTGAGATATACCTGACGATGGATGGCTATAGCTGACGATAAGACGCTGCCAGCAGCAACGCCTTTTGTACGTATCGATTGACGCCAGGCGACGCTGCTGCTCCTAGCTGCTGCAGCCAACGTGAAACAGACCCGCTATAGCTAGCGATGCTGCGCTGCTTCTAGCTGCTTCCTGCTGCTCCCTGCTGCTCGTTGCTGCTCCTCGCTGCTACGCGATATGAAGCTCACTTTTGGTGAGCTTCTCTCAGCTGCTTCGAGCTGCTAACGCTGATTTTGCCCGGATTTGCCTCTTTTCAACATATTTCTGAACTTCTGAAGGATTTCTAGAGTACTTACTTCGGAACTGATGAACTATGACAAACTTGCAAGACCGAAACGCAAATGCATCGGTAAAATAGATAAAGAAATGACAAAGTCGACAAAGAATGAATGAACAAATGCACAGTCAAATTGGAGTAACGATGAAGAGCTAGAGGATTTCAACGATTTAGTAGGATATTATTAGTACACCTCAATACAGGCTGCTATGGCCTAGATAGTCTAGATGTTGCCTCAAGCAAACATCAAGGTTCTACGGTGACACTCGCTTGATATTTCTCAAATGATTAAGCTCTCAGTATATGCAACATTTGGTTTGCCATTTTATGCTTGTTATAAAGAAAATTTTTTGATGAAAACAGTACGACTTTTTTGGATATCATATAATCATATTTCTCAATTTTGGTAATTGTCAAAACTTACTTTCCTTAATAGCCTAAGCTCAGCTAGTAACGGGTAAAGCTACTTCGTTCTTGCACCCATAGCGTACCCAGCGCAGCAGCCACGAGCAGCTAAAGGCAGCGCAGACATCAGCGATTCGCTAACACCCGCTATACCTCTGTCGTCAGGTATATCTCAAGCCTAAAACTATTTTGTGAGAGCTGTTAACAATGCCCCTGGCGCTATTTTTGTCGAAAGAGGCGTCAACAAGTCAAACAGTGCTTTTTGTGCCCTCCATGTGAAAACGTGTCAAGATGCAAGGAGATTTCGTTTGAGGAGGTTGGCCTCCGGGAGAGGGGGGGGGGGGAAGCTCGCTCGGCTCTGGTGATTTTCTGTTTTGAAGGGGGGGGGGAGTGTTCGACTCAAACGGTCGGAACCATCCGGGAGGTTCCAAATCTCTGCACTTCCGGGAGGCGCTCTTAACCCTTGGAGCTGTCAGGGAAGGCGGGGCGCGGGGCGGTCCGCTCGCGATGACGTCATAAAAAGCCGAGGCACGTGCCCCGGCCCGTGCATTTTCAAAAATAAGCTGCTAAATTAAAATAAGCTGTTTTTGTTATCAACTTGCTCCAGTCGTTTTTTTCATATTTTCCCAGCGTTTTTATTTTTTACGTTGTTTTCTACTCTTCTTCTTCTCAGGTAGAACGTTGCGGATGCTTGCCATTTACGTAGGAGGCGCGAACAGGCTCCTATGCAAGCTTGCTTCCAGTTGTTCTTCAAGTTTCTCACTCGCGTTTTCGTCTTATCCTCCTTTTGTGTTGTTCTTCCGTTTTTGTTTCCTACGTCACTCTTGTGCAAGCTTGCTTCTAATCGTTTTTCACACGTCTTTCTTCGTGCTTTTATATTGTTCTTTGGCGTTCTTGGTTTCTAGGTCGTTTCCAGTCCTTCTTCTTTCGAGTAGAGCATTGCGGATGTGGTTCGTGCCTTTTACCTTAGGAGGTGCTTGCAGTCTCTTGCGCAAGTTTGCTTCAATTCCTTTTTCACGCATTTCTCTTCCGCCGTTCAAGTTGTTCCTCCGTTTTTGGCTTCTACATCTTATCTGCACAAGTTTTGGCTTGCCTTTGGGAATAATGGAGAACCTAAAGAAAAGCGATTCGATCAGCTTTTAGAAGGGAAGTTTATTTGGACTGGTAGTGCCAAAATGATAGAACACGGGAGCGTTTCAAGATATTCCATTGGCTGTCATCATTTTGGCAATGTTGTATCGACGTCCGTTATAGAGGAACTATAGTCGTCCTCAACCCACTAGTCGGTCGGTGGCCGAATTTGAATTCGAACTGGGGCAGGTCGGTCGCGACAGAGCGCGGCAGACCGCCCCTCAGCCAACCGTTTGCACATGAGGTTTTCTCTTATTTTCTTCGTGTTTCTTTGGTATCTTTCGTATTGCTGCAATGTTCTTAATCAGATTTTTAGATTTCGTACCTCGAGCTATTTTTTGGTGCATTTGTGCTCGTTTGTTTTACATTTTTTCCAGGTAAACCGGGAAGTAGGATGCTGCTGGAAATTTTTGAATGAGAAATCTCTCTTCCGGCAAGTGACATAAACATAAATGTTGTTTGATGAACCGTATCAAGTTTTTGCTTAGAATGTGTACTCTAAACTTTTTTTACGATAGAGCTGAAATTTCTCTTAAAAAATGTTTGTTTCAAAGAGTCAGCAGTATAAAATCTGAATCTGATTGAGAACAATGCCACAATACGAGAGATAGCAAAGAAACACGAAGAAAATAGGAAAAAATTTCGTGCAAAGGTTGGCTGAAGGGCGGCGTCTGCCGCGCTCTGCCGCGGTCGGCCTGCCCCAGTTCGAATTCAAATTCGACCACCGACCGACTAGTGGGGTGAGGACGACTATACTACTACCGCGAATTAATGCTGGTTTTCTGCGCTTCATTTTAGCAGAACGGAGGGAGGAGGTCTTGGTCAGGCTGAAAAGAAGGCAATGCCATTCGAAAAGTGAAAAGAACGATCTCGTAAAGAAGCTCATCTTTCATGTATGATTTTCCGTTCTTTGATAGCTACCATTTGTAAATTGATTCTCTGTGCATGAAGTAATCTCCATCTTACTCCATTTCCTCTCATTTCTTAGCGCGGACTCAACTTTTCAGTTTCTTCAAAACCTTTTGTATTGCATATATCTCATTGATTGCTTTGTTTACATGCATTGATTTGATTCTCCACAAACAACTTAATATTTTTATTTTTTTTCTTTTGTTGCATTGTTACTATGAATAAACAGTGTTATGTTTAGTAGTGTTCCATCTTTGCAAAAGCTGTGCTCAGTCCTTTCAAAAAAGTAGTTTTGAGTGGGGATACGAAGACAGATTTCGAGTCAGCACTAAGCCCTCCAAAATGGTATATATCCAGGGTTGAGCGTGGGGTCAGGCGCGCCCGACCTGGGGGATCGTATTGAGGGTAAGATTGAGGGGAGGGGTCGTAATTAAGAATCGAATTTATTAAATTAGGGAAATAGTGTGAAGGTGAAGAAGAAATGCGCTAGTCCGGTGGATATCGCGATCACATGAAGGAATGACGGTCTTGAACAGCATCTGTTTGTTTCTACAACGGAAGTTTTAGCCAAAATTCAAATCTTCTTCTCTTTTACCTTAACATATGAGGTAAACAAGGAAGCTTGCTGTGTAAAATAGGTATCATTTCCATAATCAACAGGTCAAATTACCTCTATGCGCTCTACAAACCATTACCTACTGCAGTTTCTAGTGTTTCTTAACGCCTAAAAAGCGTGATTTTCAAACGTGATCAACTTGGTTTCAGAAGTGAGAAAAGTCAGCTTTTGTATACTCATAACAAAGTAATGTTCTCTACAAGTCTATGCTACAAATCGGACTTCATATTGCTTTCAAACAGTGAAGTAAGAAGTGCTGCCAAAATTCCAATCGGCGCGTTTTATACGATGAGTGCTTCAACTTCTCGGATTAGCCAAGGCCGAAACAAGTCGAATCAAGCTCAAACACTTACTGTGGAATCTTCGAGGATTAGGCTAGCGAATCACATAAAACTTGGGTAGAAAAGCATTTTCGGAAATAAAGGGGGTCAGGCGCAACCCCTCAAAAGGTCAGGCCGCCTGAGCTTTTGAGGGGTTGCGCCTGACCCTCTTAACTTGCCTTCAACATTCAAAAATCGCCCCTTTTTTGATATGAGTATTGAGCGCAAAGCCTTTTTTTGCTATATTGAAAATTTTAAGCCAAACACTCCACCCCTGTGAAAATTATTGCTCCGAAAAAAGGACTATCCAAATCTACTTGCCGTCAAGTTGCGTGTGGTTGTGCAATCGCAGAAAGTCGGGCCTACAGCCTTTCAAAAATAGAAACCTGCAGTGAAGGCTGGTCTTCTTCAAAATATAACACTCTAAGGACTAGGAGGTGAAGCGGAGGGTCGTTTAGGGGCTTTCACAGGGGGGGGGGGGTCGTTTTTGAAGGACTTGTGCCTGACCTTTTGCTCAAACCTGTATATATCTCATCACAACAGGCCATTTCGACAAACCGTCCTTCCCTAGCGTTGTGTGAAGCGGGAAAATACGCCAACATACAGATAGCGACAAATAAATAATAAGTCTTTATTGAAACAATGAAAAAAACTCCTTCAATGACATTCAAGGGAACAACAGATCGTGAAGGAGCTATAATGAGGCATCCAAGTATCAACCGTTTCTCACCACAGTCACATTGTGTATATCGAGCAATACAATACGCACAATCGCACACACTAAAAGATCTCGAGCAAAGCAGTGGCGCGCACCGATGGCGGGTTGCCGGATCTCGTACCAGCCTAGCACACACGTGTGCACATTCACGTGTTTTCCAACAACTACAGAAAACTACAGATATCGTATTCTAAGCGCACAGTAGAGAAAATATTCTCGTGCCAAGCTACCCGTTCCACATCGTTTGTCGATTTGCACTGAATTAACAGAGTAATTCATACTATAGTACTTCTTTTGGCACTGCTGCTATCCCTTAGGTGAGAGGCTCTAGTGACAAATACACACTAATCAATACACATCAATCAACCAAATCAATACATCAATCAACATACAATCATTCGCGCGTATGTACTGTAAGGAGAGTATCAAATATGTACTACACACATATAGAGACACTGAGATACGAACGAGGGATAGTACATAAATGTGGGATCGGAGAGAACAGTGCGACACTGGCGCGGTGCGGTGCGCGCGCTGCGCGCACGTGTTCATCCCTGCACTGAGCAAATATGAAGTAGTTTCGGCAGATACACACACACATACAACTAGCTAGCTAATTTTGGCCCATTTCATAAATCTCGTCATCGTTCGGCACGGTATGTGCTCGGTCATCGCTTTCATATTCAACACACGGTCCTCTGTCAATAAGATCAGGTTACGGTAGATGATTGGCGTGTCTCGACCCTGCGGCTTTTTGAAATCTGCGAAGGTGGATTCCAGCGCAGGTTCAAGTTGTGTGAAGTTCACACATGACCGGAGGATACGGTCATCGTTCACCTAAAGTAGTGTGTTTAATACTGCTGGAAATTTATTATTTACAGATCAAAAAAAAAAGAAGAATAGGGAATAAAAGAATGAAAGAAGTGATATAGAACGAAAAATGAGGATGCAGAGAAAAAAGCTGGGCTTTGGAGACGAGGGGAGGTGCGAATATAGAGGAAAAGAGGGAAACGAAGCAATAAAGAGGATAAAATTGATAAGCTAAAATAAAAAAAGCGAAAAAAAGAGAACCTAATGGAACGAATTTCGAAGAAAAACATATGAAAAATCAATGAAGTAGAGAGAGAGAGAGAGAGAGAGAGAGAGAGAGAGAGAGAGAGAGTGTGTGGAAAAGTTGGAAAGAAATCAAGTGCAAACCGGAAAGGAAAAAGAAGAAAAAAGATAAAGCGTCGTAAAAGCAGAGAAAAAAGCAGTTAAGGAGTCACCAAAAGAAGAGAAAATGGAAAAAAAAGGAAAGGAAGAAGTGATAAAGAAAATAATGAAAAGGAAAAAAATAGAGAATTCAGAAACAAAAATGGAAAGAAAAGAATATTGGTACAATGACGAGAAGAATGAAAAAGAGAGGTGGAAGTATACGAAGATAGAGAGAAAGAAACAGGGTGAGAGAGAAAGAGAAAAAGAGAGAGAGAGAAGAAGAAGAAGAATGGAAGTACATGAAGGAAAAGTGAATGAAATCTGGACAGAACAGCAAATGGAATGCAGTTCAGAAAAAATCGAAATCGATAGAGAAAGAAAGAGATAGATAGAGAAAAGCGTGGGAGGCGAAGGAAAAAGAATGATAACAGAAGAAACGTAGAAAAAAGCACAAAAATTAAGAAAGTCCCCCAACTAACATTTGAGAGCTACAGTACCCAGCCAACTACCGTATGCCAGCACCACTCACCAATTCACGATCGTCCGCTGATTCTTCTCGCACTACCGTAATCGGCACGCGTCGTCCACGCATCGTCAGCGTAAACATTCCAGGGCATTTCAGCCGCGTTTGTTCTCGTAACCAAGTCATAGCTTGTCGTGCTCCTGCTATAGCTGCTTCTGCATGGATACTATGTACTTCGCCATGTTGTAATTCCATCAATTCTTCCATTACTGTAAAAAAGAATTCTTATTTTAAGGGCGCAGTAGGAGAGATTTTGCTTAAAAAAACCTGTGGTTGGGATGAGTATCCGGAATCTTTCGCATTGTTGGATCTTCTGGATTGCTGTTAGCTGATCGATAAAAGCGTTAGTGTCAATGACGATATACAATGGCCGTACCTAAAATGAGATAGTACGATGACAATGACATGCCAAAAATAATAGTCAAAATTTGATGTGGAAAATAAGATTGCAAAAAGGGAATGGCAAGGGACGGGCCAAATTTTCTTAGTACTTAAGTGCCGGGAAACTGGGAAAAAAACAAAAGAAAAAATGAAAGTTTGAATTCCAGGGGGTAGACCCCTTGGGACAACAGTCTGAATATATGATTACTTACAACTAATAATTGCTCATGTTTTCGAATCTCCCGTTCTATCAGCTCTTCCCTTGTTAGCGGTGTTGCTGAAGCCTCCGATTCCTAAACAGATATTTTTGCATTTTCTTAATTATTCGAACTGTTAACTTACTTTTGCACTACTTACCTCATCACGATGGTTGGTCAAACCACTTGGATGTTCCAGATGTTCTCCATCCACTCGCTCACTCCTCATAAATTTCCCTGTCTTCTCACAAAAATAGAAACAGGAAAGTTCCGAACCGTCCAGATATTCTGCGGCCAACATGAGCTGGGCTAGCCTTAGATGAAGCGGAATCAACTGAAAGCCATTAGTAAGTAATCGTTTGAGAATGACATGAAAAAAAGTGTACCTGCTCTCCACAATCTGCTGGAAGTGTGCAGTGCAGTATGCGAGGGAACGGAGGGAAGACATTCGAGAAAGATGCCATATATGCCAGCTCAGGTAGCATGAAGGACTTAGTGGAGGCTGCAGACAAAAGGTTTACATTTATTGATCGATGGTAAAAAACAAATGCTTAAATATAGTAGTATGCAAGGAGGGGGGGGGGGGGTCAGTTCTGTGAATGTTTGCGATAATTTGACGTAACAGAATGTTCGCGGCGCATAGACTTAGATTTATAGAAAGCATATGGGCATAATGATTATCCTTCTATATATATAAAACCGAATGGGATTTTGTCTGTACACTGGTGGCTTGTCTGTACGCTGGTGGATAAGCATGCTTGTTGATGCTGTCTGTAGGTCCTCGATGGTGTTTTCGTGTTTGTCATTTTCCAGCATGGAAGCTTGTTATTACTTCTACCATTTTGAACTACGGGGCTGGGAGTTGGCACAGGGGGGTAATCGAACATGCTGATTACGAATATGATAACTATTTTCAAAAATGACCATTACTTTTATCATTTTATCGATTTTCTGGCAAAGTTCAAGCTACGGGGCTGGAAGTTGGCATACGGGGGTAATCGAGCATGCTGATTACGAATATGATAACTATTTTCAAAAATGCCCACTACTTTTATCATTTTATCGATTTGTTTGCAACTTTTGGACTACGGGGTTGGGAGTTGGCACGAGAGGGTAAGCGAACATGCTGATTACGAATACAATACTGGTTTTTAGAATTATCAGTTATTTTTATCATTTTATCGATTTTTTGGCAAAGTTCAAGCTACGGGGCTGGGAGTTGGCACAGGAGGACAAGCGAACATGCTGATTACGAACACAATACTGGTTTTTAGAATTATCAGTTATTTTTATCATTTTATCGATTTTTTGCAAAGTTCAAGCTACGGGGCTGGGAGTTGGCACACGGGGGTAATCGAGCTTGCTGATTACGAATATGATAACTATTTTCAAAAATGCCCATTACTTTTATCATTTTATTGATTTTCTGGCAAAGTTCAAGCTACGGGGCTGGAAGTTGGCATACGGGGGTAATCGAGCATGCTGATTACGAATATGATAACTATTTTCAAAAATGCCCACTACTTTTATCATTTTATCGATTTGTTTGCAACTTTTGGACTACGGGGTTGGGAGTTGGCACGAGAGGGTAAGCGAACATGCTGATTACGAATACAATACTGGTTTTTAGAATTATCAGTTATTTTTATCATTTTATCGATTTTTTGGCAAAGTTCAAGCTACGGGGCTGGGAGTTGGCACAGGAGGACAAGCGAACATGCTGATTACGAATACAATTTAGCTTTTAGAATTATCAGTTATTTTTATCATTTTATCGATTTTTTTGCATGGTTCAAGCTACGGGGCTGGGGTTTGGCACGCGGGGGTAATCGAGCATGCTGATTACGAATATGATAACCATTTTCATAAATACCCATTACTTTTATCATTCTATCGATTTTTCTGCAGATTTTGAACTACGTGACTGGGAGTTGGCATACGGGGGTAAGGGAACATGCTGATCACTACGTAATATATAACGAATTCGTTGATTACGCAATAATCCTCTGATAGTTGGATTATGGCAAACGAGGAGGCCGCAGACGTAAAAATTATGATGAAATACACTGATCTTTGGGATTGGATTGCTGCCACTAGCGGTGAGTAAGTCAGTTGGCACGATGCCAGATTTTCGTAAGCCTTTGGAACGGTGCCAAATTTCGTAAGTATGGGCAACTGAAACAACACACATGCATAACGGCATGCTTCGGGCGTGTTTTCGATCGATATCGTCATTACTTTTCACGTCTGCAGTTTTGACCATCCTAGGAACTGTTCTAATTTCCCGTTCATTCTAGAATTTCTTCCAATAACTGTTGTTCTGGATTCTTCTCATTCGAGATTGTTTTTATTTTACTGAGATCTGAGATGAGAGATATTTGGGCACTGTATTCTCTGCAGGTTTGCTGTGCAAGAGAGGAAAATTGTCACAGTTTTGGTATAGAAAAGTCTGTTGAAACCCGGTCGGGCAGAGAAACAGATTTTTGCATATTGGGGCTGTTCTTATAATTTTCAAACGGTCTACAAGCGGCACGTAGGGAATAAACTTTATTATTGAATAGTTCTATCGGTCTGTAAGCGGCACGTAGGGCAACCCGATCGGGCAGAGAAACGGATTTTTGTATGTTTGGGGCAGTTTATAATTTTCAAATGGTCTCCAAGGGGCACGTAGGGCATGGACTGTCTTTTAGATAGATAATATTGGTTTGTAAGCGGCACGTAGGGCAACCCAAACGGGCAGGGAAACAGATTTTTTTTATGTTTGGGGCAGTTGTAATTTTTGAACGGTCTTCAAGCGGCACGTAGGGAAAAAACTTTATTTTTGAATAGTTACATCGGTCTGTAAGCGGCACGTAGGACAACCCAATCGGGCAGGAAAACAGATTTTTTTTATGTTTGGGGCAGTTGTAATTTTTGAACGGTCTTCAAGCGGCACGTAGGGAATAAACTTTTTTTCTGAATAGTTGCTATCGGCCTGTAAGCGGCACGTAGGGCAACCCAATCGGGCAGGAAAACAGATTTTTTTTTATGTTTGGGGCAGTTGTAATTTTTGAACGGTCTTCAAGCGGCACGTAGGGAATAAACTTTATTTTTGAATAGTTCTATCGGTCTGTAAGCGGCACGTAGGGCAACCCGATCGGGCAGAGAAACGGATTTTTGTATGTTTGGGGCAGTTTATAATTTTTAAATGGTCTCCAAGGGGCACTTAGGGCATGGACTGTCTTTTAGATAGATAATATTGGTTTGTAAGCGGCACGTAGGGCAACCCAAACGGGCAGGGAAACAGATTTTTTTTTATGTTTGGGGCAGTTGTAATTTTTGAACGGTCTTCAAGCGGCACGTAGGGAATAAACTTTGTTTTTGAATAGTTACTATCGGTCTGTAAGCGGCACGTAGGGCAACCCAATCGGGCAGGAAAACAGATTTTTTTTTATGTTTGGGGCAGTTGTAATTTTTGAACGGTCTTCAAGCGGCACGTAGGGAATAAACTTTATTTTTGAATAGTTACTACCGGTCTGTAAGCGGCACGTAGGGCAACCCAATCGGGCGGGGAAACAGATTTCTGTATGTTTGGGGCGGTTGTCCTTATAATTTTTAAACGGTCTTCAAACGGCACGTAGGGCATGAACTGTCGTAAGCGGCACCTAGGGCAACCCGATCGGGCAGGGAAACAGATTTTTGTATGTTTGGGGCAGTTCTTGTAATTTTTGAACGGTCTTCAAGCGGCACGTAGGAAATAAACTTTATTTTTGAACAGTTAGTATCGGTCTGTAAGCGGCACGTAGGGCAACCCAATCGGGCAGGGAAACAGATTTTTTTTAATGTTTGGGGCAGTTGTAATTTTTGAAAGGTCTTCAAGCGGCACGTAGGGAATAAACTTTATTTTTGAATAGTTACTATCGGTCTGTAAGCGGCACGTAGGGCAACCCAATCGGGCAGGAAAACAGATTTTTTTTTATGTTTGGGGCAGTTTATAATTTTTAAATGGTCTCCAAGGGGCACGTAGGGCATGGACTGTCTTTTAGATAGATAATATTGGTTTGTAAGCGGCACGTAGGGCAACCCAATCGGGCAGGGAAACATTTTTTCTATGTTTGGGGCAGTTGTAATTTTTGAACGGTCTTCAAGCGGCACGTAGGGCATAACTGTCTTTTAGATAGATAATATTGGTTTGTAAGCGGCAAGTAGGGCAACCCGATCGGGCAGGGAAACAGATTTCTGTATGTTTGGGGCGGTTGTCCCTATAATTTTTAAACGGTCTTCAAACGGCACGTAGGGCATGAACTGTCGTAAGCGGCACCTAGGGCAACCCGATCGGGCAGGGAAACAAATTTTTGTATGTTTGGGGCAGTTCTTGTAATTTTTGAACGGTCTTCAAGCGGCACGTAGGGAATAAACTTTATTTTTGAATAGTTACTATCGGTCTGTAAGCGGCACGTAGGGCAACCCGATCGTGCAGGGAAACAGATTTTTGTGTGTTTGGGGCAGTTCTTGTAATTTTTACGGTCTTCAAGCGGCACGTAGGGAATAAACTTTATTTTTGAATAGTTACTAAAGGTCTGTAAGCGGCACGTAGGGCAACCCGATCGGGCAGGGAAACTGATTTTGTATGTTTGGGGCAGTTCTTATAATTTTCAAACGGTCTTCAAGCGGCACGTAGGGAATAAACTTTCTTTTTGAATAGTTACTATCGGTCTTCGCGGCACGTAGGGCAATTGGATCGGACAGGGAAAGAAATTTCACATACGTTTGTGCAGTTCTTATGAGTGGCGGTCTTTGGGTGGCTCCCTTTTGTAGTAAAGCTTCATATTCCTTCAGCGAAAAAATAAGGGTTCTCTAACAAAGTTCTTAGACGACTGATTTCGTTGCTGTCGGAATTGATTCTGAGAGAAAAGTGTTTTTTGTAGTACATTAATTCTTATGGTGTATTTCTACTTCCAAAACGATAATGTTCTGTTACTTACTTAACGATCTTTTATGGAACTTGTTGAGAAGAACTGAAAGAGCAAATTCTCTTTGAGAGGGTAGTAAAGTGTGGAGGGGGGGGGGGGGTATCTGAATGTCTCTGTGAGGAGGGGAGTTGCATATAGAGCGTGTAAACGAAATAAGAATAATACATACATGGTTGTAGCAGGAATTTCGAGAAATGCTGAATGATTTGTGGAGATTATCGCTTCTTCGAGCACTTTTCCTTTTGTGGAATCCTCTTCGCAAAAATATTCTCAGGAAAAGAGCAGGAAACTTATTCAGAAACATTTTTAGTCAAAGCTAAGCCCTTACATTGTATCTGCCCTGACCCACTTGCTAGCGACCCGTAGGGTCGCTATCTTATATATAAAGCTGAATGTCTGTCTGTATGTATGTATGTCTGTCTGTCTGTACGTATGTGCGGAATAGAAATTTTTATTTCTGAACCGATCGGGACCAAACTTGGCACACATATACTTCGGGGCAGGGAGCGTGTCATAGTCCACTTTTCGTTATCGATCGATATCGATTTTATCGATTTTTTGCAAAATTTGAGCTAGGGGGCTGGGATTTTGCACAGGGGGGTAATCGAACATGCTGATCACCCCCGTGGGGGTGATCAGCATGTTCGATTACCCCCCTGTGCAAAATCCCAGCCCGTAGCTCAAAATTTGCAAAAAATCGGTGAAATCGACATCGATCGATAACGAAAAGTGGACTATGACACGCTCCCTGCCCCGAAGTGTATGTGTGCAAAGTTTGGCCCCGGGCGGAGCCGGGTTTGCCATCTAGTTAAAAATACGCACAATAACAGTCAAAAATTAAACAAAAAGAAATGACATGTAAATGTTATAGGCGCTCGTGCTTAGGTCAAAACAAAGTATAAGGGCTTACTATATGTGATAAAAAAGAATCGAAAATTTTCTGTAAAAAATCCATAAAACTTACCTTCACTATTTTCGATCCTCGCTAGCATGCCACTATCTTGCCATTGCATCAACTCATTTGCTATTTTCGCTAGGAAATGCCAAGTATCGATATCAACTATTGACATTGGCAATGCTTCTACAGAAGGCATGGTTCGATAAATAGATGATGCCAGCGGGCATGAAAACCATTCACACAAGACGCAGATGGCTGGTAGTACACGAGCAACCTATAATCACATACAAGGATTTTTAAAAATATGCTCATTACTGGGGCATGTGAACTTCTTCTACTGCTAATATGAAGGCGTAAGCCTGCCTTTACCCAAGAAGCAGTTTTATGGGATTCACTCACGGCAGAAATTTCAACTGTAAACTCTCGCCAGTACCGTAGTCAAAATCCTCTTGCAAAAAAACTTGGGATGGACGAAAGATCGAATTTGAATTTCCAGATCATGATAACCGATGAACTACTAGTTGGACAGTAACCTGGTTGAGGCCTACCAATCATTTTTCGCACAAGAAAAGTCGGATGTCGTCTAGAGCTCATTTACGCTTACCACAGATGGTACTGGAGCGGTGCCTTGGATCCATGAGCGAACTTCATCCAGTCGAATTACGATAGGACGCAGATAGGCACCAAATATGCTAACAAGAGCTCGTACAGCTTGTTGTTGTTGCACGCTACATATGTCAGCATCACCTTAGAGATAAGTATATAGGGAAAGAAATTTTCGTTCAAGCTGTTAAAAGCTCACCAACAATTCCGTTACAATGCACAGCATAGATGAAAAGAGAAGCAATTTGGGTAAGCTGAGCAGCTGTGACTGGGGACGAATCTTGTTCCACGAGTGCAGCCAGCTGACCGATGGCACGTTCAGATACGCTAAATAAAAAAGTTTGCAAAATTTGAGAAGGACGACCTTTCCCTCTACGATGCTAAGGCGCGGACACCTTCGCTCAAAAGCGCTCAAATTTCTCTGATCTCTCTTCACTTTCTCGTTTGAGGAGAGATGAGAGAAAATGAGGAGAGGTCGAAAAAAATCCGGGCGCTTGAGCGTTTTCGAGCGAAGTCTGGTGACTATGAATAAGCTGACGCAAATAACGAGTAAACTGCGCCATTGTAACGAAAGAGCTTTTGCGCGCAAGCCAAAAACAGAATAAAAACTTTCAATTAAAAACCATTCTTGAGGGGGAAAGATGACAATTGATACTGCCAATGGCCTACCTTGGAAATGACTCCATCCCAATTTTAGTTATCAGCAAGCCAACAGTGCTGATTATGTAAGATATAGCACGGCGATGTAACTAAAGCAATTTCGTCATTGGGGCAACGAAAATAGGAAAAGGAAAAAAGAAGAAGGAGGTAACTAGAGCAAGTAAACCAAGAAAATTATCTGAAAAAAAAAGAGAAATTAAGAAGAGCCTGATAAAGAAACTTACTTTGCTAGGTTGCTGATCCAAAAATGATCGAAATACGTGAGCCCCATCATCAGCTGACTCAATATTTGGTCCTTCCATGTCAAGCCAGATTTCATAGGGTCGATCAGCACTTGCAGCTAACTCTGCATCTTCGTGTACCTCACCGCACTCAGCATCCAAGAGAGGTTCATATTTGTCGACCTAGAATACTCATGTAGCCGATTTCACTCCAAAAAATCAATTTCTCCCTCACTTTTCGTTTCATAGCCGCTAAACGTGCATATAGGCGATCTCGCGCAGCCTCAAATGGATGGCAAGCTGACAAAGCCCTCACACAATAGTAGATCTCATCCAACGCATGACCCTAAATCAACAAACTTTGCAATAAGATAACAACCCACGTGGCGATATCCCAAATCCTCCAATCAAAATGCTGGGAAGTCTCAACGGTAAGGTGCGAGTGGGAGGTTATACATGCAAAGAACACTAGGATACAAAGCAACTCAATGAACGAATGCGAAGCCGAAGTAAGAAATCAAAAAAATTAACGGTATATATCCCAACACCTATTGTTATCCAAGAACTCATAATTTTAGGGAAGAAAGATCTAAATTGTTTCACTATGTGTTGGCACACTCTATTCTGTGCTTCGGTCCCCTCCGTGAATATACTCTCAATAAGCAGCGAGCAGCTTACTTGTTCACTCCTAAACTATATGATTTTTCCCCTACCTTACACCTACCGTAACCACACAGAGAGACGTCTCCGTGCAAAATGTGTGGTAACTCTAATCAGCGTTCGAATAACCCCTGTATGAAAAGCTTTAACGAAATCGAGATTTGCATTTTGGTAACGTTCTGTGGAATGGCGCCAATTCGCTTGAAAGATTGCGCCCACCTCATAGTTTGTAGAAGAGCTCTACCTGTAGAACATATACGCATTCAGGATACCAGGTGACAAATACAGACGGCTGGATGGAAATTGTAACCTGCATGGTCCTGACACGGAGTAGTGACGTAGCGCGGGCGTGGCCTGTGTTCAAATCGCTTGCAATTTCTGATTCCTAATGCGTGCCTTGCCGCCTCGAACATCAATCCATTTTCATTCCTTTCCTGCATCGTCAGTCATTTTTATGTCCCTGCATAGTTGATGTGTTATTGATAAAGTCGAACTTTGCTGCTAGTTTGCTTTGTTGTTTTTTAGAGCTTCACTGTCGCTTGATTGCGTTCTTGATTTCATAGTATAAGCAACTTCCCTTATAGCACTGTTCTTTACCGACTTTGCCATCTCGCCATTTCTTCATTAATTAGCCAGTAGATGTGTCTCGACAGATACGAACTCGTGCCGATACTTTCATGTTGGTTTTCGCTTTTCTGTTGCTGTGTAAATCATCCAAATGTTTTTACAGTAGCAATGGCGTTCGAGTAGAGTAATGTGCTATTTCGGGTAGCAGTTCGTTAAGTGTTTCGTAACACTGCTGTTTTAAAACAATGCTACATCATGCTATTTGATGAATATGGATTGCACTTTCCCTCAAGGAAAAGAAGAATCTTAGCTCAGCTGCAAGGTTGCTAAGCACAACTGTTGTATGAACCACGAATTATGCCCCAAGCAATGACCACGGATTCACGGATTTGTTGACAACCTGTGCTGTACCCCCTCATATTTCTATTCCCTTCTTTTTCCCCTTCCCAACGCATTTTGGAACTGACTTAACAAACAGAAATGACAAACCAACTGAAAGAAGCCAGATCAAAAGGACACAAAAGAAAAGGAAACGATATTCCAGCAAGGCACAATGGAGTGTACTGCAATGATGCCCGGAAACGTCCCTTTCTTGGCACGGAACAACCGACCATCGTTCGGTATGATGCATACCATCACAAAGCAAGGCTCAGCAAATCACTTTTTGACAATCACTCTTGAAATCACTCATGCATTAGATTGGACAACGATGCAACATAAGCTCAAGACATTGTCAAGGACCTTTTTATTCGAGAATCAATGTGCTCTAAGTTAAATATGAAAGACATCCCAGGACCCAAAACTTAATTACTCTCGTGTCAAATTTGAGGTAATTCCCTTGATGAATTTGATTGACACTCGTACTTTTAGGCAGATCTTAACCCCTTTCCAGAAGCCCAGCGATAGATGAGACAAAGATGAGCCGAATTTAATTCAATTTAGGAATGCTATTATACTAGTTATCACGCATAGAGGAAAGAACCGCAGACTAAGACTTCGCACGTATTTATCAAGTACGACTCAGTGCTCATGCTGAATCACTAATATTGTAGGAGTGCTTCGCAGTTTTCACAAACAAGATTAGACACATGCAGTGTTAGTGACATTACGGAATATTTTTGCGCTCAAACTTTCAAGAGGAATAAGTAATCCACAATCGTAAAAGTAGCTAATGCTGGATTTTACCTATTACTGCAAGCGTCAAGAAGTGATGTTTATCGGTGATATGCTGACGCTACTGAGCTTTGATGTATTACTAGGATGCTTGTGACGTATTCATAGGGACAAAAAAATGTGCAGTTCTTGTGGACGGATATCTAAACGTCAACAGCTCACATAAAGAACTGATTGTGGGTTAGTTTGGCAAACAGCACCATCCCCTAGCACTAGCCTGAGATAAATCGAATAAAACAAATAAGCTATCGGGCGATAAATGACACCTGTCGTCTGTTGGAGAGTATCTCGAGCGGTGTATTACGTGCACGCCGTCTGCTTCGGTACAGCATCTAGAATACGGCTTCATTGCATGTCGCAACATTTTATTTGTATTTTGATTTTAGTGAAACAAAGGATAGTTGCGGCAGAACAGGAACGACAGCGAAAAGATTTTCCTAACTGCAAGGTCTTCAAAGCCGTCGTAAATGAGATGGAGATTCTACATATGACTGTAGTCACAAAGGTATTATAGAACTCAGCGATAAACTTTCTAGTTGGAGTAAAAATCGTAACATTGTTGCGAAATGAGTAGCAACTGTAGCAAAACTAGCAATACAATATTGAGAGGATGACAGGACACAAAGACGAGGAGCATGCAAGGCAGGCATCAACATAAATCTACACTACAGTCATGCGACCATTTATGACATTTCGTGCTCATCTCTCAACACGAAAGCATTTCTTTGCCTGTGCGATGTGAGAAGCAGTTGAAGCTGCAAAGTGCCTCAGAATCTAAGAATCAACAAACTGGTATAACCTGGTGATTTGCTCATACCTAAACTTTCGTTTTCACTGAAGGTCCGATGAGAAAATATACATAATCGTGTTTCAGGAGAAAGGGAGAGCAGTCCCTAAAAGATGCTCAAGCTTCTCTAGGTGAGTGTTTCAGAATAGTTTCGACCAGCAGTACCAATTCGTCAGGATCGCAAGCAAAACCCACACGCTGGCACAAGTTGAGCTAATGACGCTCATAAGGAAGTGGTATCGCAAGGCAAGTTCCAACATTATGGCAGACGTAAGTCTGCACATACTCTATCTTCCAAAGGCGCAGTTATTGGATATAAGCTCAAAACGGCCTTTAGAAGTGCCTGGTAAGAATGTTTACTATACAAAAAACGGATCCACGTAATTCGCAATAAAGTATGCCGTATGCACGCCTTCAAAGAACCAAATATAATAACAATGATAACAATGAGCTCCCACTTTGACTATTATTTATCTCAGATGCTAAGTCCTAGGTCAGAAGGAGCGTTCCGGCAAAGCCTTGACTCGAAGATTCTAGGCGTTTAGGTTATTTGGGTTCATCGTCCCGGCAAATCAAAAAGAGCTTGAAGAGCGCAACTTGTCAAGAAAGTGCTTGTTCTGGGCACTGAGTCTGAATTCAGGCTGTGGTGGCAAAGACCACCACAATAAAGAACAAGGTGTTGCCTGACCACCCATTGACGAGAAGAAGGGTGGGCGAGAGGGCAAAGGAGGGCGACGGAGCCCGGAATACTGCAAAGCGTTTCAAACTTAGTACACGCACTTTTTAGCCCGAATCTTCCGAAACCTAGCTGAGCGCCTGCTATTGCAACAAATCCAACATCTTGCAGAATGATGGCTAACTAGTCGGATTTTACTAGTTACCAAGTCCAGTTTGACGCCACCTGCACGAACATGATTCTTCGACGGCTATGCGATTACTATCGCCAAGTACAGTCGGTTTCATCCCAGATTAGGCGAGGCATTTTACGTGGAGCAGCGCATGCGCATCGCTGGAGGCTTTAAGAACGCATAGCGCTGACATTTTGTCAAGCAAAGACTAAGGAGATTGAAGAGACGCAGACATGGGTTCTCAGCACGACAGGATATACTGTAGCTGCGAAACGGCGCGAGCTGTTGCGAGGCGGACTCCCGCCAGTCCAATTTCCGCCTAAAGCGAGTCGAAACTTACTGTACCATTGAATAAGGAGTAATTGCAGGGAAAAGAAAGAAAGCGAGTGAATCACTACCAAACTCAATTCATTCTGACAAAGCAAAACTTAAGACGTTGGGGCTAAGAATCTTTAGAAACTTGGAAAAGACATTTGCAAAACTTCATTTTCGATTCTTTAAGTTAAACTCTTTGTTTTCATCATAGTATCGGGATTGCGTTTATGAATCTGAATCTAAATTTTTTACTATCTTTGCAAATAGTCCCCCACTACGTATGCCGCCTCAAGGTGGCGTCAGGGTGACAATGGGCGCCGAAATGCTATTCAGCCGAATGTATAGTCTAGAGGGGTCCTCCAAGCTGTGAAAGAGTTCGGCGCTTCCGACCTTCGACTTCGTCGGACTAACTAAAACGGATCCGGCCAGATCCCCGCCGACTGACAGGTGAAAATAGCTGGTGGTCCTTCCACATCACAGGGTCGGCGATCGCCTATGGAAGGCAACAGCACGGTCTAGTAAGTTTGCACTTGTCGAGGTAAGTCTACACTCGATCAGCACGATTCAAAGAAAACGCTGCACACCAGATCCCACCTCACGCGGTGATTGATCAAGATAAATGGCAGATTGTAAGGGCGACACTTGGATAGGATAAAAAAGAAACGTCTGAGACAACTCGCTAAGGGGACTGCCTTATGCTCTGCACTCAAAACAGGGTGAGGGAACGAAGGCCGCCAGTTTGAGCCGCCTTTCGGCCAACTGGTCCTTTGGCAATGCTGTTGCATGTCGTTCAGGACCAGTAGTTCGCAGTGGCGGCTCATACTGACGGGCTCCGCTCCTCTACCTCCTAAAACGCAACGACACTCTCCTCAATGTCCACCTCCGCGCTCTTCTCGACACTGCAGAGCATGTCAAGTGCCATGTCATTACTCTCCAGGAAATGTAGACTAGGAAGAAGGACGAAAAGTTACGAAACTAGTATTACTCGTAGTGAGAAAGTTCTATCACGAAACTTTGGAGGCGCTGTCTTCGTTTCCAACCGTCCATCTTCCATCAACTGCTAATACTCCCCACTATCGCAACTAACAGTGATGCTTTCTACAAAGACCTGGAGGAGGTCCCCCGCGACAAATTGTTCATCTACAATACTGTAAAGGCTTTAACACTAATATCGGGAACACACTAGAGGAAGAATATAGCATTGGCAAATGATGAATACAGAACGAAAATGGCAACTACCTACAGGGCTTGTCAATGGCGGGCACCAGCATCTTCGCTCCCGTGCGGCCGCTTCGCCTGGACTCTGCACTTCTTTCGCAAACATGCTCCCTGATCACTTTCCCGCAGCAAGCCTGGGAAAGGCGGAGCCTCAATCGATTGGATGGTTAGAGCGCATGTTTGCGGAAGAGGTGCAGAGTTCCGCGCAGGAGTGGAGATGATGGTGCATCCGACACTGCAATTGATAGATCGTGTAATTGAGATTCACTACGCCGTGTATTCCTTGGAAACTCAATCTTGAAGAAAAGAACAACTCGAAAGGGAATCGAAAGGATACTTACGAGAACATTTACATCCTCAGTAATTGAAGGTGGAGCTTGCTCAATGTCTCAGAGTTCATCATTTTGCAGAGGCTCCGATCAAGAAAGGTGGTAAAGGTCTCCTCAGCGGAGCAAAAAAGAGGGAAGACGTTCATGATAAACATAAGGAGAAGCTCATCAAGTTCCGAAGGCCCCTTGAGGGGGACTCAACTACGGCTACGCCCTGCCGGAAAATATGCGCGCCTGCGTGCTTCAATGGCTCGTCAGACCTCAAAGCGCATCTCGAAGACCGGCAAGAAGATCTTTGACGCAAGATTTGAACGCAACTCATCTCGAACGAGTTGCAGAACAGCTTTGCAAGGGGATCTTTGAGAGCAGAGGCAAGCCAAAACGATGAAGCAGCGGAAGAGAGATGAAGTTACTAGAAGTGCCGAAAGGACTTCCTAACACGTAGCGATGGCAGCAGCATCGAACGAAGACGGGATTGTGTGAACATGGTCTGACTTGTGAGTTTTTCGAGAAAGCATTTCGCAATAACGACTGCAGTTTTATCAGCATTCGTCACTGACTCCGGTAAGTTCTCATCTCGAATAGTCACGTCGATTAGCGAAGCAATCCGTAAGAATGCAAGTTTGCAAGAAAAATGTAGTTCAATCTGTACCGCGCTACCCAGTCTGTCGCAATGCGGACCAGGCGGAAATTGGAATGATGCGCATCCGCACCGCATCAGTTTTGCTTCACGTCTACTGTTTGCTTGCCTGCTCTCAAATCTCTTCGCTCTCTCCTGCGCATATGCAGCGCAAACCCCTAGCGCAGCGAGCGCGCATTTACTCCAACGGTTGGGCTTGATCCCGACTGGGACAGACTGTGTATCGTCTCGCGTTGCTGCTATCTGAAATTGTGAAAGTACGCCATCAAAATGCAGAATTTGACATCTGTACCAATTCTGTCACGAGAACTTGAAGTGGCATGCCGAAAAACTTTAGAAGCGTGCTGGATTTCGACTAAAAATTCCAAGATGCACAGAAAAGAGGAACGCATAGCCGTAACAAGTATTTCCGGAGCTATGTGGAATTACTTACATCCAAATAGCCTCTCTCTATAACATCTGTTCAGACCTTGTGAGCGGACGAACCGTGGGCTCAACAGGCCTTTCAGGCTCGTCCGCGGCCTCATGGGGACGTGGCCGAGGGCGGCCGACCCGCGGCCTTGGCTCATGTCATTATCATTGCAGCGGCCAACCCAGGGTGCGTAGCAAGTGTTACCCAGACAGCCGCCTGGTGCCGCAGCCAGCCGCCAGAGCTGGCACCAGCGTCGCGGCTGAGCTACCGTAAGCTCGCTCTCGTCGTTCGCAACCTCTCGCAGAGAGATTTTAGCAGCAGCCTCGCACCTCTCGCGCTGAGGTGCGAGAATTCCCTCAGAGGTCGCGCTACTGCCACATATCATATATCGATCAAGACAGCGGAAAATTTGCATTTTATTAGTAATAACATTACAAAAAATATTAAAAAAAAACAAAAAAAGTTAAATAAATAAATTTATAGATGATTATGAAAATAAATTAAAGGCATAATATCGTGGAGTAAGTTCATAAAAAATATAAAATAGATTATTGAATGGTTTTTTGGCACAATTCGTTGTGACCGGGGCAGAAGACTTCTAACACCAACTAAGTCAGATATTAGAAAAAATGTGCCACATATGGAGGTATAAAAGATGAAATGATGCTGAGCAGCTAAGATTCGAGATGTCAAACTCTCAGCTTTACAGCCTTCAGTCTGAGCATCTTGCTCAAATTACCTATGTAGAAAATCCGTCGCTTTTGGAGGTAATTTTTGATTTTTTGCTTGTTACCGAATCTTTTTGAAAATCTATCAATCCCAGAATCCGCTACCTGCTACAAGCCAGCTCTACTCTTCAGCCGTTGAAAGATGCTTTTCAGCCGCTGGTATTTTCTAGTCCTATGCATTTGAAAAAAAATTTCAGCATCCTCGAAGCGTGAAGCCATTACGAAAGAAGGATGTGTTGCGCCGAAATAAAATTATTGATGCGATGCGCAGCTTTAGAGAAGAATATGAGACAGGAAATTACATACCAACAGCTTCTATAAATAGTTTTTGTATTAAAATGTCGAAATTTGTCACAGAGAAAACCATTTGACAGCAGTGCGGATGTAAAATTGTAAATTTGATTGTGATTTTCATCTCTGATTTTTTGTGTTGTTTTTTTTATTTATTTAACTTTTTTTTTGTTTTTGTATATTTTCTGTAATGTATATTACTAATAAACTACAAATTTTCCGCTGTGTTGATCGATATATAATGTGTGGCAGTAGCTCGACATCTGAGGGAATTCTGATGAGGTGCGAGGCTGCTGCGAAAATCTCTCTGCGAGAGACTGCGGACGACGAGGGCGCGCTTACGGTAGCTCAGCCGGGACGCTGGTGCCAGCTCTGGCGGCTGGCTGCGGCACCAGGCGGCTGCCTGGGTAACACTTGCACGCCTCCCGCCAACCCATGGGAGGAATATGGCTTACCGGTTCAACCGCTGCCCTTAATCATGGGGCAGAGCTTTGCAGCGGCTAAGCCGCTGACCAAGATCTGTGCAAGAACTCCGGCTGGGCCGCGGCTTACGTCAAGTAAAGGCCGCGGGTCGGCCACTTCCACTGTCTGAGCGTAAAGGATACTTGCGTGATGTACGACGCATAGTCAGGCTGCCCTCAATATCAACTGCCTTGAATGCGTTTCCATCTCCTAGGCAGGAACAAGATTGAAATGTTTTTCTATGAACAACCTTCGATACCATCTTGCGTTGTTCATCTGAAGTCGAACTCAATTTCCAAAGCTGCTATGTTGGTGGCTTTCATTCTTCTTTTTCTACTGTGTATTTTCCTATGTGCCCGCCAATAGAAGACAGTTTTACTGTGTATCTGTGTCCGGCCTAGCGAATCAAATTCTATATGATTTAATGACAAAGAGGAGTCCTATAAATGGTGAGCCAAGGCCCGATTATGGCCAAGCTAGAATGAACTACGGACGGCCCGACAGCCAGCTGCGGCCGAGCCGAGGTTCACCAGCGAACGAGCTTAGGCTTGCTGCCGGCCGAGCCGAGGCCCACTTTCCGGCAGGCCCGCGAAAGCTGCGAATTTCAGCCTGAAAAGGGCCGCGGCTCGTCCGCTTCCAGTGTTTGAGTAGAAATTTCCGTCGCAGCATTGAATGATTTGTCCGACTTGTTGTTTTCTAACCTACAGATACAGAGCGTGGGAATAAACAAATGTCATTAGTTCCTCACTTTCAGGCTCGGACAAAGGCAAACAAGCCGGAACGTAGCCGAATAAAGTTGATAACAATATTGGTTTGGCTTAGTCACTCAAAAGAATATGTTCGGACCTTCAAAGAAAACGTTTGGAATTCTTCTTCGTGATACACTTTAGATGCTCCACAACCTTTTTTCGACTATTTGACAGCTGACGACTATACTATAAACGGTGTAGCTGGTGATTCAGACATCGCTCAAGACCTATTTCTACAACAAAGCGGTGACTAGCAGTACATCCATCTACGACACAAGACATCAAAGAGGAAGCAAATGGTGAAAGCTTGAATGGTGCTGGGTCAAGCTCAACCTACATAATCCAGCATTAGCCTAGTGAAAGATGAAGATTATACCTAAGGTGAAAATTCTGACAAAGCTGCTGCTGTGCGCTCGCTTTTTTTCTAATATAAAAAAGGAATCCATAAAGTGCGAATGTTTGCGGGATAAGGTAAGAACAGGAGAGCAAAGGGGAGAGGGAGTGGGGGAGCTGAGAATGCACTTTGCCTTACGAGCTAAGGTATTTCTAGTTTTGATAGAAGCCACCTGTACAGTAATTTCAAAATTTCACGTATTCGCTGATTTTTGACAATTAATAATCCTTATCTTGTTTTGTTGTTTCTATTTAGTACTCATAAAGCCCGTAATTCTACTTCAACTCTCAAACATGCAAGCATAAGATTTCGGCGATCGACTATCTATCCAAATTTTGAAATTATAGATCTGGAAATTACAGGAGAAGAGAGACAAGAGGAGAGGTGATAGAACAAGGAGCAAAAGAGTAAAAAAAAGGATTAGATCTGGCAACAAAAGTCAATTAAAACACGTTCTACTTCTTGATAGAACAGAATTTGACAAATACATTTTTTGATAGTTTGCAAAATTCCAGCAAGAAACATCAGCAATTGCTTGACCCAGCACTCCGGGAGAAAAGCTAACAGTAAGCAATAACAAAGTAACTCACCGAAAAGTAAGCAATGACAGCAAGTTGATTGTAACAATGCCCTGATGAGGGCCATAATAAGGCTGACTTCGAGTAAGTACTGAAAAAAAATAGAGAACAAAGTAAACTGGCAAACAGAACGGGAAGAGAAATTCTCACAGTTTAGCATCGCTATAGTCTTCGCTTCCTTCGACTAGCGTCTTGTAACGCTTAAGATCCCCCATACATATCAAATGCCGTGAACATGACTTTACAGCTACCTAAAAAGTAAATATCGTTCAAAAACAGCTCAAAACGATCGTAAATCACAAAATAATTTACTTACCCTTTGCTTGCTTGCTCCATTCTCAGCATTACTTAAATAATCTCTCACATTCCAAAAATCATTTTCGTGAAGAAGTGATGGTACCAGCATAGCTTTGTCCAAATCAACATTTAGCTCTTTCTGGTAATGATCAATAAGACGTTCGTAAAAAGCAATTCCCTAAAATGACTCGGGAATTAGCAAGCGGGGCGAACCTTTTGCGAAAGTTGCCTTACCTTTGTGAGTAATGCCAACAGAATTCCTCGGAAAACTTTTGTATTTTCTTTTGGGGAATTCACTACCGTCTTGAATACTTCGATTGGCTTATAGAATGCTTGTTTCCAGAGATGCTGCTCCAGATTCATAGTAAATGTGAAGAATATGTCACGTAATAGGACTCCATAATAGATTTCTGCCAGCTCAGCGCTAAAAAACGAATAAAGGATGATATGCGATCAAAAAAGAAGATTGCGAAAGATGAAAAAAGAAAATGCAGCAACGTAATATTCTGTAAAAACAGAAAGAAGGTAAAAATTGACTACAATAAATGTGAAAAAGGTTACATAGCATGACCAACCTTAGTTGAACAACTTTTTCAGCTGCTCTTGTATCTCTTTTTTGCACTTGTGCGAGTAATGATGTGATTGTGTCGTTGATCTGTAATTTTGCAGTTAGAGATTCGGAATACGGCTGAACCTCCTAACCCCCTCAGTCAACTGACCTTTTGCATTTTTGGTCCTTCATTGCTGGCGATTTCATGATACACCGGATAATCTGTCATTTGACGTGGTTGAGCATTGTGAGATGATTGATGAGATGTTGAAGCAGGTTGCATTTCTTCTTCTTTTACACTGGTAGAATTTGTAGCCACACTGTAACCAAAATCGCGCAATGATGTATGTCACATTAAAGTGAAAACAGCAGACAGGATGAAAGTGGGGTAAGTTAGATAAAGCTGTGAATTAGGTTGGGATTGATACACAGAAATTGAAGGTGGCATCAACTCTCCACAAATGCGTGATACAATTCGAAGGTTCCCTCATGGTATTAGTCCTCATTTTAGAGCTTTTCCGCAATTCTGAGGATAGCCGTTTATCACAAGGTGCTCGAAAAGGCCTTATAAAAGAAGGCAGATATAGAACGGACATGTTAAGGGAGAGCTATAACTGGACAGTTTTTTATATAACTCCATCCATGATACTTTCTAACTGAAAGAAGACGTGTGATGCTGTACTATGCTATAATAGCCTGAATTGTAAATTTGTAGGTTTACACATTTCCTGCGGTTCCAGCACCACTTGCGCGTGAACAAAACGCCATGCCGCAGTCGACATTTGCGTGTGTTAGCCGTGGACTGCCCATTTTAAGTTGGCCTCTACGACTATCGGTTTGCGCGCAAGTATTGCCAGTCACAAAGTATAAACTGTCAAATTACCCCCTCCCCTCCTCCTATAACATTTCTGAACAAAAATGGGATTACAGGAACAGCAAAATAAGAATATCCATGTTATCCAATCTAACACCGTCAAAGTTTTTCTGTGAGGAAATAACTCAAACAGGAACCAAACAAAGATAAGGTTTGGGTGTATGAGGATTCCTGGGGGACTTAATTTGAGTGTGCATAAATGTAGTGGCTAAAAAAAGAATCTATTCAAGCATAACAAACTTGATGAGACTATTCTATTTGAGTTGTGTGTACGCTCACAGGATTTGGGAGTGAAAGATTTAGCCGAAGATCGATTTAACCCAAAACAAATTTTCCTAACAGCGGCCCTACTGACATCGTACATTCACCCCACCAGAAAAAGAGGAGGTTCTAAAGAAAAGCTTGTTCTTCCTTATCCATCTTCAAATGTCCCTTTATAAAATTCTTAACAGTCAGAACTTTACCCACGTCCCCACCCTCTTCCCTTCCCTCCGTCTTTTCTGAACACGCAAAGGTTTCTTCTCGAATCATAAGCGACAGTACAGAATAGACTTCGATGTGAAGGGGTAGAAACTCAAGATAATTGAAACTGCGATGACTTTTGTGGTGGCTCATCGAATTCATTACCTCAAAAGTTTATTATCTCGCATCAGAGACTTGCTTAGAACAATGCGATATGTTCTTTGCACATCTTTGCGACGTTTCAGCGAACAGTTGGAAAATAAACAAAAACAGTCCCAGTGATACACTTAAAAGACAGGAGTAGCCCAAATTCGCCTGGACCTAATGTTAGAGACGGTATAGCTTCCCGGACAACAAGTTACTCATTACCAGTACCCTGGGTGAGCTTCACTGATTACATCACTAAGACCGCAAAAAGCAACCCGGCAATATTCGGCTAAAAACTAACAGACATTACAACAGGAAACTTTATTAGATCATAATTAAAGCAATTATTATCCGACAATAAGTCCCAAATAAAACCGCTAATGCGTGAGGTTAAGCCCACATAGAACAATAAATTAATCGCTCAAAATCGAGAGATTCGTGTTTTCAGAACAAGAGATCATTTTGAAAATCACTTGTTTTGATCGTTAAGTTGAAAGATTCACATTTGTACGCTAAGCCTAACATAGGCTTTCGAAAGCACATTAAAGACTTGCTGTAAATGCTGACGCTGTGTGAGATTCTCTAACCATAAAACAAAGAGGTCGGTATACATATGACCACTATAAAGCTTATTGGGAATAGGTTAAATATGAGTGTTAACATATACTTATTAGGAAAAATAGGACAAAAATAAGGAAGGGTGAGAGGTATTGAAGAGGGAATGAGGTAGTGCATAGGGCAAGAAAGGAAGTAGGATGAAAACCACACGGATCACCTGTTTCGCACGTCCGCATTCGTTTTGGGGGAATCGTTCCGCTCGGCTGCTGTAAATATCAAATTTCTGCATTTTGTGCAAAAATTCGCACAAGTTCAAAGTAGCCCTTGCTCGGAAAAGGGCAAGTAAAGTAGGAAAACAAGCCGAGATGACAAAAAAGCACACCATGCAAAATGACGAACAAATTTTAGTCACTAACCTCGTTTCGCTGGCGGAACATATGTTCGAATTGCTTCTCCGCGAGGTACTGGGCGACTTCTAGCAGGCATGGATGTCTCCTCTGCGCGAGGTTCGACTGTGGTCTGCTCCATCGTCAATCGACCAGCCAAGCGACTTGGCTTCGTCTCTTGCCGGGATGGTGAGCCATTGTAGTTCGCCTTGTTGGTTATGTTCCGGGCTATTCTGGGCATTCTTATCTCCCCTAAAAGTCGAAATTTGTTCTGAAAAATAGTGGAAGGTATGGCAACACTGCGGCATCAAAAGTATTCCGCAAGAGTTCTAATGAGAATTTGAGCTAGTGATTGTTATCCATCATCAAAAGATAGATCTCCGACTCAGTAACTTAACATGCGCACCTGCGCACCATGCGCGACAACCGACGGACCTTACCGGTGACTCATTGGTCCAACCATTTGCGCAACAAGATGTAGAAAAGTGTGCTACTAACCGATACATATCCATTCAAAAAGAAACAACAACAAGGAAACAAGTTAAAATTACTAAAAATGAGCAGGCTTCATTCTTTGAAGTCGTCAAGTAACGCGCATGGTGTGCAGTACCCGTATTAGTTTATATATGACTCGATGACTTGACAATAAAAATATACTGTGCAACCCAGTCATTGACAAAACTCTGATCAATCATTGCTGATTAAAAGCAAAGTGACAGCCAGAATTGACTCCCAAAAGAAGAAAAATTTTGAAAAAAACGGATAAAATTTGTAATAGGAAGCAGCAAGTACATAAACCCACTATGCCTAGTCCAATGCCTTTCATCTCCACTATCTTCTGTTGGTGTAGCATCTCCGCTAGAAATATCATCAGCTTCATAATCTTCTTCAACTATACTGCCCGGTATCGAGGAGGAATGATCGCTATCTCAAATCACAAAATGAAGAAAATGAAGGTATGACGAAAACAGATGCAATAGAATCATTAAATACCATGTCCATCCCTGTCCCTATCAGATCTCAGTCCGATGGGTATCCTTAGTAAACCACGTCTTGGTCGGGGATGGGAATAGTCGCCATGGGAATAATCATTCGCAGGTGAGTTGTTATGGATGTTACGATTTTCTGACCTGAATAATGTAAAAAAGTAACCAAGAAATTGAAAATGAAAGAATTGCGAAAAGCTGGCTATCTGTGCAGACTGCAAGAGAAAAAAAAGATAAATGCAAAACTGAATGACTCACTTCTCCCGATCCCAATCACTGCCTTCCTCATGCTCATCTCCATGCTTAGCGTTATATTCCGATTCTACTTCCTGACTCCAATCAAAAGATCCAATTGATTCAAATGACTGGCACAACTGCATGTAGGACAACGACGATGACCCTGGCCCATCACCGGACACGCTTTGCGTTTCCGAATGAGTATCACTGCGTAATCGGTCCTAAAACACCAAATTTTATCGAAAAACATCAAAAAAGAGCTGATTTTTTTCTGATTCGTAAATGTAGTACTTTCATCTTTCAAGGTCTTTCATAGAAACGAAACCAAACGAGAAGTTAGTAATACAAAGGAAAGAACCAGGGATGTGAACGAAATCAAACTTCATCATAATGCTATCCCAGTCAGACTAGTGTAAGAACAAAGGAAACATTTGCATCGACATTAAAGTGAAAGCAACTATATATGTAGACTACGAACTTATAATTCCATGAATGGGACCCCTGGCCCCTCACTGCCAGCGAAACGATCTTTACATTTGTTCTCAAAGCCCGACAGTAAGGCGGATCTACTGGCCCTGGTTAACCCCGCCTAACCGGTATGCTCAGGAGAGCCCAATGACCCCAAAAAGGTGAAAACGATTCATATTACTTACGTAATACTGCGGTACATATTCACTTTGGGTGCTGTTCATAGAATCATTTCGTCTTCGATTCCCAACATTCCGTCGTTGTCCAGCCTCAGCACGCATTGATGCACGTTCATTCTGTTGCAGTTGCTGTAACTGCACAAAATCTCTTTAGACAAGAGTACTCTTCAAATTTGACTTCTTGCTGTCTAGCTTATAGAAGACACAATGAGCATTTTTACGCTAAAATTTCCCCATTCCCTCCTTATTAGAATGGAAATTTAGGTTAGTGCTAAATTAGCCGTACAGTGATGAACAAAAGAAACAAAAAGCATTCAGGTTAGTGAATTTTTTTAGTCACTCCTAGGTACAAAACATGGATTAAGAACAAAAAAATCGTCCACGCTGATCCATAATTTCCTGATAGGATACAAGACATAAAGGTAAATATGAGTGTCCAACTTATTACATCCACAACACTTAGTGAGTAAAATGAGCTGTTTCGCAAATCAATGCTGACACAAAAAGTTCTGGTTGTTGCCTGCTTGTAACCAGGGTCAAGCAAGGGTGTGGCACACGATCGGTGGTTACGACCCCCCCCCCCCTGATTGCTGTCTTAATAAGACCCCACCCCTGTATTATATACCTAAGACAGCATTACCAGAGTTGAGAAAGAGGTCAGGCACAAGTCTTTCGAAAACAACCCTCCCCCTCCCATGGAAGCCCCCCTCAAACGACCCCTTCTTCCTCCTCTTAACCTCTGGATCTCAAAGTGTGACATTCTGAAGGACACCAGCTTTTTCTAGAGAGTTTTCAGATTTCTGAGAGCTGTACGCCCGATTTTCTGTGACTGCACTTTACAATCACACGTAATTTGACGGCTGATTTTGATCTGAATGGGTATATTGAAAGGGCCATAATTTTTTTATGGTGGGGCGTTCGGCTCCGAATTTCCAGCGTAGCAAGAAGAAGCTATGTGCTCAATACTCATACCAGCAATAGAGCGCTTTCTCGGTTTTGAAGTTAAGGGGGTGCGGCACACCTTCTTGAAAGCTGCGGCCGCCGCAGCTTTTATGGGTATGTGCCGCACCCCATTAACTATATAAAAAAAACAATTTTAGCGGACAGTATTTATATGAATCGATAGCCTAAACCTTGTAGATTCCATAGGACTGTTTGGAGCCTGATTCGTCTTCTTAGCTCTGAGTAATATTTGGTGAAAGCACAGCGATCAAAAGCGAAAAATGGGAAAAACGAGGTTTTAGCTGGCTTCTAATTCCACAGTTTGCATGTCTTCTGAAGCGGGATTCCTGATGTGGACAAAGAAGGAGTAGTGCTTTGTCTTGAGTGCAAAAACGGATAGCTAATTCACCTTTGAAACAAAGTTAACCATGTTGGAATTTGACCATTTCATTGAGGAAGTAGTATCTTGAATCTTCAGAATTCGCTCACACTTTGTCTACAGGGGTTAATAGACATGCTAATTATGGATATGATACATATATCATGTTATTACTATTATCAGATTACCCAACTACGACTCCCTCCCCTTTTGACTCCTCAATACGACCCCCCAGGTGTGGCGTGCCGCACCCCACGCTTGACCCTGCTTGTAACTAGCAAATCTGAAAGGACAACAGCCAGCAAAAAAGGAAAAGCGATTACGTACAGTCTCACTGACAAAAAAACTTGAATAGCCAGAAAGAAGATAGTAATTATCACGCACAAATTTAGTCATAATGTCAAAATAACTTCGTTGTTTGTTTAGAAGGAGAACAACGTCTTTTATAAACAAAAGTAACCCCACCCAAAGCGAGTTTGGTTCGCGCTTTCCATTCGCAATGTGAGCAGTTTGGCACGAGTAATCAACAATGGCAGCAGTTGCACTCTTTCTCTTTTTTTGATGTTACGCACTGGCATTGCCGGTGGTTTACAAAGAATTGCGAAACTCGGCAAACTCTCTAGTTTTATCAATGCATGAAAAGTCAATTCCAGTGAGAAACTACATTTCTGTATAACTTCTTAATTTGACTCTGTTTTTACAGTCTGAAACTGTGGAAAGAAACCCAACTCATCAGAAACCCACGCTTGCGATGAGCACTATATGATTGGATGACAGATATGCGTTTGGTACGATGAGCGCAGATGTTTAGCAGTAAAATTAATGACTATTACGCGTTCAAAATATAAGAATGCACAAAAGCTGTTATCGCTACCCCGAATTTGTCAAATTGATGTCTTCTTGAACTGAGATTGAAGAAAAGCAATTCAGAAAACTATTTCAAACAATAATAAAGACTAACCGCTCTCTTGAATCGCATCGGTGATGGAGCTCTGCCTTGTTCCGGCTTCCCTCGTCTTCTATTGAAAGTTGGTTGATGACTTAGATAACCTCCTGGTTGTTGGGGATCATATAGTGATTGTGTAGAATTCTAAACACATTCATATCACTTCAGATATTTAACAAGAAATACAGTAATCCCTTACATAAGAGTATTTGGTATTCGTGTTTCGTTCGTTGTAACCGTCACGATTCCCCTGAATATGGATTCGGACTTGCAACAAACTAGCAGAATAACAAGAGCAACTTGTGCTCCTGTCACATTTCAAACCTGTCGTGAATTCTTATTACTGTAATCTCGTGTATTTCTTTTTCCACTCGAAGTCGAATTTGAAATATCGTTTCGTCCAGCATGGTATACTTGCCTTCAAAATGAATAATGGTAGGGTAGAAAAGTGGAAACTCGAAACTATAAACAGCGCAGAAGCCGAATAAGAAACGAAATAAATGAGGCAAGAAAAAAAGAAGGCAGGCACCTGTTTTCTGAGTATGCTCCTCCTCTTCCACCACCACCACGCGTAAACGTTCGCGATCCCGGAATTTTTCCGAAACTATCTCGCCGATCGCTACACATAGAAGCCGCATCTGGTGTTGTACTCCCAGAATCACCATGATCTGCATAGTAAAATAGAAAATCACTCAAAAATCAAGCAAATGTTCCTAGGCATGCTTTGGCAGTCTCACAAAAAAAACGAGAAATATAAAAGACAAAGAACTTCTGAAAAGCAACCAGATGTAGGATAATGGGTTATAAAATAGACGAATTACAGCTCCGACGCAATTAATCTCTTTTTGCCATTGATCGCGATAATTAACGGGGATGATGACACATAAAATTTTGCATTTCGAAACAATACACTCAGCAATCTTCCATGAAGAGTATAGAAATGTGAAAAGTTTTGGAAAAAATGCATTGAATTGCTATAACGACACTAAGCTTTGCTTTCGTAAAGCAGAATGGATTAACTAATTTTGAGAAAATTTGAGGTAGAAACTGGAAAAAAGGTGAAGAAAACCGAAATTTGTGTGAAACTCAAAAAAAAAAACTCACAAGAATGGACAGACTCAGTGTCATTGCTACGTCTTCTATGATTATTTTCACTGATGATTCTTCCTGAAAATAATGTCTATGACTTCACAATGAAAAACCTAAAAATTAGGAAAATCACCTGCTCCACTGATGTCAAGAGAAATGCGAGGGGAACGCCTGCGTGTAGTAGGTGGTTCTGGGGGTTTTGCATCGCTTGGTGGTGGTCCATTCGCAGTCACGTCCGTCCCCTTACGCATCATGCCTGGAATTAATTACCTTCTTCATAGAAAAAACTCCATCTTCAATGATCAATAGTACGGTAATATCATTCCCTCGCTACTCCAAAGACTTTTTCAACCTCCAACACCAGCAAAAGAACCTTTGTAATCTGCACTTTGCAATTATCCCTATGTAAACGCTATAAATCGCTCGAAAACTGCTACCATTATGTCAACGAGGACGATCCCAAAAAACACACTAAAACGCTCTTAAAACAGCGTACATTCAGATTTCTTATCAATTCCAACAGAACGAGGGACAATAAACTTCAAATAATGTGGCAGTAAAAAAACGTAAAAGGCAGTTGTTGACGAATGCAAGAAGGAATCACATAAATGGAAAATCTGATCCGGAATGAAGACATCAAGGAGATATGATCGTGCATTTTTTGCATCTATATATCATTAAAATTAATCTGAACCCACACGGAATCTAATACGAAACTAGCAAGTTGCTGAAAAAAAGTAGGATTCGATACATCATGAGGAAACTGGGACACGATATAATATAGAAAAAAATGCGTGATGGTTGCTGAGCGCAGAAAACGCCTATTCAAGAAAAGCAACCACGACTTCATTGAGAGCCCTCCCTCCAGTAATTTTTACCTATACCAAAGAACGCAAGGGCTATTTTAACAGAAGCCCAATACAAACGCTTAAATCATAAAACTAAGATACTTATCAGCCAAACAATAATCACAAATGATAAAATCACGTAGCTTTTCTAGCAGGCAAATGTCAATAGGCAGTAAAAATAACATTCTCTTGACTCTCCCAAATCAGTGGCAACATTTATTTCAGCAGGAGAACAAGAGAGGTAGAAAGGTTTCTGCGAAGAACAATCCATCAAAAAGGTGAGGTCTACAAAGTTTCTAAAGAAATGAGAAGATGCCTGATAAATCAAGTATTTGCATAATACTTTCATTTCGCAAGCACCGGCCGCGATGGTATTCTTCCATCTTACTAATCAAATGTAGCGAGGGTTTGTTCTTTGATTTGTCCACCAACTAGTCAGTTCCGGAATGGAAAATTTTGATAAAAATACCCAACAAAAAAGTCAGAATGCCCTGACTCTGGAATAACATGCTTCAAAAAACAGGTGATACAACAAAGTGCACACGCATTTGCATGGTAAAAACCAGAAAAATGGGTCACCAAAAATTATGATAATTAATGTAAGGTAGTAGAACAGAACTGACTGATTCAATAAGCAGGCAAACCAAATATGGGAAAGGTGAATATACTGAATCTGATACAAATGAAAATATACTCACCTGGACGATATATTTGTATTTCAGGACGCATTTTTCGTGTTCGTGTCGTTCCGGGAGTTGGCGGTGAAGCAGTGTCAGTCCCGGAGTTTTCGTCTGCCATTCTATAAGAAATCAAAGAAATTATTACAAGGAACAAGGAACAATTCATGAATAGTGACGAAACAGGTACGAGCGAACTGAAAGTATGAGTAAGTGAGGGTGGAGTTGAGGTATGGGCCTGTTACTTGACAAAAAGCACGCGGAAATGTTTGCTGAAAGATAAAACAACATTTCGGGTAGAATAAAAACCCACAATGATTTTTGCTAGGGAAAAAATCAGTATCAAATTTTTAACAAGAATGAGCAGGAAATTCAAGCATTAGATGATAGGTTTAGCCAAATAACGGACTCCACTAAAAAGTCTAACAAACTGCAGCTCGTTCCCCTGAAAATAGTGTCTAAATTAATCCAGATAATTAAATTAGCGGACATTCCCCAGCAGTTTATTTAGTGGTGGTAGAGGGATATAGCTTTAACTTTCGCCCGATACCATATTCGAAGACACTGATTAGAAAGAGTACGGTATTGGGCGAGAATTCAGAATTGAATTTTTCGACCACTAGTGAATTATATGCTGTCGTCTGTCGCCAATGGCGTACTTGTGGCAAACTTATCAGTTTCTACACACGGCGAACAATTCTCTGGAAAAGTCTAGTTTTGAGGTGTTCTGCGGGAGTGAGAAGATAGATTTTGTCCAAAGACGCTGGCAAGATGCAAAGATGAACTCTCTTCTCAGCTGTGTGCGCCTCCGCGATGCCGCCGAACTCATTTACGCAACAAAAAAGACGCATCAACATGCAGACATTACGGATTCTTTCACAGAGGCAAAAAAGCTCCGTTGTCGGCAAAATGCAAAGGTCACTTACGACCTTGAAAAGTGCACAAAACAGAGAGCAATAAAACGACGAATGATTCACACGAGGGACCCAACCGTTCGAGAGATTCTGTCGAATGTTAAATAAGAAATGTTCCAGCTAGAAATCATTGATAACGATGATGACGTGATCGATTCGACAACGCGTAGAACATTCGAACATGGAACAGTACGAAATGAAACTGGCTGCAAGCAGCAGCAGGTTTTGTGTTTTAGCTCAAAAACACAACAACGGCTCATATAGCCATGGGAAAAAGAGGAAAACGAGGCACAGGGGATAAGAAACTTTGAGACTTTGTAAAATGGGACAAGCACTCTCCTCTATCACTGCGGCACATAGAGCAGCAGCAGCAGCATCACTTCGGCACAATCAATTCGCAGCCAGTCAGACAAACAACTTTTGTGCCTACGAGAGACGAGAATACGTTTCTGACACTCAGAAAACGTGCTAATGTTACAGCAGCGGCCGAAGAGCGCGAAACGGGTTCGCAACTATCGTCAATGTGTTGTGACCTCTCATAAAATATGAAAAAAAGAGGTGATTTATAGCTCCGTACAACTAGTAAGTTATTTGCAGTTATTTTTGACTCTCATAGGAGATACGTGTATCACGTCATTCAAATACGAAATGTTTAGCAATACTTTGCATTTGGATTGCCCAAAGCAAAGATTGAGATTCTTTGGCAAAGAAGGATTAGAATTTTACGAGCTAATATACGAGCTTATCAAGAAAATGTGCCCTCGTTTTGAATCGAAAATTTGAGTGGAGATCAAGAACACGGATTTACAAGATAAAGGTAATCAAGAAACAAGAGTCACTCTTTCTAAAATCATAGAACCTACAGCATGACTTCCGACTCTCCCTCGGCATTTCCAGAAAAATATGAGCTTTTGACCATTAGGTACATTTTTGCAGAAACTCGATGAATCAAACAGTTTCCTAGGTAAACAAGGATTCAGTAGTATAGAGAAAACGCGATTTTTGGGAATAACGCCTCCCCTACGACGTGGAATTGTGTAATTGAAAAGTGTGCTGAAATGAAATTATGATACTTAGCAATGATCATCTAGATGAAACTGTAAAACATAAGGAGGACGTGAGTAAGAAAAAACCCCAATTGTATAAAAGCGCATCCAGCTGTGAAAGACAGAGATAGGAAAATCTCAAATTCAAAGACAAAAACACAGATTTGCATGAGGTTAAAGTGACCAACGCGCAAAAAAAAAACCAAAAAGCTCATGTATGGAAAAAGAAGGTAGAAACATGAAATATAGATGATTCATCATTCAACACAAATATCAGAAAAGAAAGCAACAAAAATAACAAACACAACTAGCGGCATAGAAGCCCCAGGAACAAAATGGGCACACAGAGTTATGCATTCTGAAGCCGGTGGTGGTGTGAACCAAACCCAATCCAGTAGGCCACGCAAGCATATGAAACTGGATTATGACATTTATAGAAGAGACTGCGCAAAGAAAACCCTACATTCGTGTCGTTAATGGATGAGGCTGTTCTTCTAATGAATATGGCTTCACGTATCATGATCATGGAATGGATTCGATAGGAATGCTCAAAAAATGCAAAGTGTGCATCAAATTATTTGTTCAGTTGCCAGAGGTCTAGCCTCATTTTGAATGTGAGAAAATTTATCCATATTCGTATCCAAAGTGTCACCGTGAGATATGGCTGAGACATTCAAATCCTTGTAGTAAAATTACTTTTTGAAATCTTTTCATTTGCTGGCCATATAATCTAGTTTTTCGGAGAAAAATCTCCGAAAATTTCTTCTGCTGTGATTTTTATGCGCGAAGATTTGATAGACTTAAAAGTGACTAAATCAGTACTATTATGCATCCAATATGTCCACAATAAATTACTGAATTCTAGGGAAAAGAATAACCCAACAAAACCAAGAATAGTAGTACCAGCAAAGAGACGGACAAAATACGAAACAGCTACTTAGTATTTTCAAATAAAAGAATAGAAGATTAGCGAAAATCGAAGAGAAAACTTCTCAAGATAACCTTATAACAAGAGAAAAACTTGGAAGAGTTTCTAGGAAAAACCATTATATTCTATGGATGTTGAAAGGAAAAAGGAATGAAACAAGAATGAGATTGCTGATTGAAATGCAAAAAATGAGGATGAAAATGAATGCAATGAATGAAAATGAATGAAATGCTTCAGAATGAAACGCTCATGGATAAAAACGTAAAAATTCTTGTAAGATTATGTAAGATTTTCCGCAACTCCAGGACTCTCAAATTTTCGAAAGATAAGCCATCAAACAAAAACCAAGCAAAAGCAAAAAATACTAGCAAGACTGCTTTGGCAAGAGACGTGAAAACTGTGAAACCTTGACGCAAATCGATACTTGGCTCGTTTCCAATCTCGACTTCCTCGACATGTACAAGAATAGCTGCATGTAGTCATCTATGGTAACGAAATAGTTAGAAAAACCTAGCCAAGGCCTTTTCCAGCACGTTTGGGCTATTCTAACAGACCATAAAACAGAATGAAGCGCTGAGGGTGCGGACAAATTCCGGGACGAGAGATAAACCTAATTAAATGTGATCGTGTGTGCGCTTATGCTTCCTGCGTCCAGAACAAACATCGGACGAATGAGGACAAATATTTGGGAAAGGGTTTTAACGATGAGAAACAGAACATTACATGAGCAGCTTTTCGTAAGACGGATGAAGGATGGGCAGAAAGAAAGTCGAAACAGAAGAACAAAGAGCGTGTTGTAATCGATAACGGCAGATGATGCCGTTTTGAAGCGGCTGATAGATAAAACTCAACTCAACACACAATATGACGGCGAGAATGTGCGGAGATAAGAATCCATTCAGAAAGTCGAAAAGAGAGGGAGGGGCAAGAATAAAGACATGAAAGCATGAAATGAAAAAGTTCTTGCAATGTAGAATCAAACAAGTAGATTTATAGCCCCTACTAGTGCAAAAGAGCAAATCAAAAAGTGCACACAATTTTGGAAAATTGTGAATTCACACCATTCATGGAAGTGATGTTGACGTAATAGAGCTACGTGACAATTTACAAATCACACTCGAATGATCGACAGAACATTAAAAATGTAAAAGAAAAAAGAACAGGCTTTTTTCAAAAAAGCATGACTGAAAAAAATGAGATGAGAAAATGCAAGATGTACAAATATCACATGTGACGAAAAAAGGATAAGTTTTTGACTGAGAATCAGGATGAAGTCGAAAAAACAACCTCAAAAATAAAATCAGAATATTTGGTTTGTACAGAAGAGTTGCAAAAAGAAAATAGTCGTAGCGACAACTCATTTCTGGAATTTCTGCAAGTGAATAAAGTGGAAAATAAAAGATTGATGGTCGGAGAAGAGGGCTATCAAAATGATCAGAATTAAATAGGTAAGCTGAAATCTCAAAAGAAAGAAAATAATGAGGGGAAAGACAAAGGCACCGTGAAACGTTAACCATGTTACAACCTTAATGATAGGCTAAAATAAACATTTACGAATTGAAATTAGTGTTTTTTTTAAACAAAAGCGAGCTGGAAAAAGAAAAGACTTTAGAAGCAACAAAAACTCAAAATCTGCTTTTTTCCACGAAAAACTGCCGAAGAAAAGTGGACGAAAGGCCATGACAATTATCGCAAACCCATAAACCATCATTACATAACAAAAGCAATGCAATAATGCGAACAAAACCGAAAGGAACCTGCTTTCAGCGAATGAAACGTTGAACATTGACAATGAAGAGTAAGTTGACCCTGTGCCAAAACTACACCTACAAGCTAGAAAATACATAAAGCTTTGAAGGTGATTGGCAAGATTTCAGAAAACTTACGAAAACAAATGCAACGATTTCAAACGACCTCGTGCCGAATGTCGTCACGACCGCCACGATTGCCCTTTTGCCGTCGGGCGCGTGCTGGCGTTGGCATTGGAGCACATAATCGATAAAAGTGCGCAGCTTGTGTTAATTTTATTCCTGGCTAACTGTTTTATTAAGATCTTACTCTTTTAATAGCTGTTTTAGATAATAATCAATTAGGACACAATCAGGTACGACGGAATTGTTCGCTTTCAACCACAATTGCAGCATATATGTGCAGCTGCACAAACTCGCATTCTAGTCAACCATGAACTTTTTATCTTTCACTCATTTTTGATTAGAGAATTTACAAACATTTTGCATATGCGTGAACAAGTGGATACTTGTGTTTCACTTCTATACGTTTCACTACTTGAGACTATAGAGGACAAACAAGTTCGGGCTTGTTGTTCGACTCTTCTCGTCTCAAAATGACAATAATTATCATTCATTCTACGACTAGGAGACGCGAGATCGCATTGCACACATTGTCTAAAAGCTTAATCATGTATTTAGCAGGTTTATACTTGTCATTTAGTCCAGGTTTATTCACTCTTAGGAAACAGGGAAGAACAGACTCAAACATGTTAGGACGGTGTCCGTAATGCGGCCAAGCGTCTCCTCGTCGTAGAATAGATGATACTTCCAAATCATACTGTGACTAGGAAACTTGGGAACGCTTTGCACAGAATGACAAATCAAGCTTAATCGTGTGGTCAGACAACTGACCGGAACTTAAAGTTCCGCCGGATCACCTGCGGAAGCCCAGCAAACGTGCTGCGGAACTTCCGAAGGGTGCGAACCACAACAGCAAAAGAGGACACTTAAGCGAGATTTGAACCTTACTCATCAAATAATCTGAGAGCTCACGTAGATACTATCCTCCGCACCAAGGCTGACATGTTCGATAATGCACTCTAGTTGTTACATTATACGAGACAACACATTCAAAAACCTGCGGGAGTACTGGCATGTCAAAGTGCTGCGGAACCGCCGGCATTTTTCGGAAGTTCCGCAGCGCTTTGTAAGAAGTCCTGGAAGTTCCCCTTTTCAACCTGTCTGACGTGAAAATCCTACGGAAGTTCCCATTTTCAACGTTTTCACTTTTGCAATAGTAGCAAAATCCTGCGGAACCGCTGCCAATTCTGCTTGTCCTGCGGAATTTCCGGTGAATTGTCTGAGTGTGTGTGTGCAACGGTTTCG